GTATTTATTTTTAAATAGTCAGATTTGTAATATTAAATGATTGCTTTTATAGCAAAGTAGTTACAAATTTAAAATACAAACCAAAACAGAGAAAGATCAAAAAGTACATGGTGTCCTGCTGACAGAAGATTCAATGCTAGTGATTACAGCATGGTGCCCACAGAGCCCCTACTCCCAGCAATAGTTTCTGTGAGAGGTGCTGCAAATAATGGAAAGAAGAATCAAGTTTCTCCTCAAATGTTAAGAGTTATTTGATAGTTTTCAGTTGTTAGGCAGAGCAAAGGTGCAAAAGTCCTCTAACGCTTGTTGGCACAGCCAAGTTTGCCATCCCCTGAACGCGAGTAAGACAAGACCTAGATCAGATTCAGAATTTGATGTGGCTTCATCCCGAGGCAACCTACCTCTCGTAATGGAGAGCGTCCCTTATGTCTTCGCCAGCTGGAAGCCTGTTGAGCCTTAGTCAGCCAACAGCCTTTGCAGTAATTAAACAATTCTGCCTCCAAAGCATTTTTCTCTGAGCCAAATTACAGGCATTAGGATAGCAGCAACGTTGGCTTTGCCAGCCAGGACTAAAATTAGGTTGCATGATTTATTTTACAACTTGTTTGGGTGCTGACAAATAGTGCCAGATCTCCACGGATTCCCCGAGCTGTGCTTATGTGGGGGAGAAAAGCCGGAGGAGAGAAAGGCAGGAGGGTAGAAGAGTGTCACCTTTACTTCATCGCTGCTGTGCTTTTTTTAAGGTGCCGATGCAGCCCTGCTAGGAAGAGGAAGGACGTTCTGTGAATTCTATAGCTATGAAATTTCTTTTTAAATAAAAACATCTTTAAAGTTCTCTTCCACTAAAGGAGACTGGCTTGTCTCGTACAATAAAACATAAGCTGAGAAGGAGTGTGATTTCAGCCTGTAAAATACATCAAGAGAGTAAAGATGGGGAAGGGAGAGGACCTAAAGGGTCATGAATATAAAATAGCGCCTGCATGAATTTTTAGACTGGAAATTGCAAGTCTTCTAACTGCTGAATGTCCTGAAGAAATATGTCAATAGGAACAGCAGGAGACAAAAACTATGCCTTTAAAACTTGGAGCTTGATAATTTTTTAAGGCATTTTGTAATGAGGTTGCTGGTTGGAAAAGACTACTTTCATTGACCCAAGTGGTCCTTTCTCAGCTTGCAATTTTCTCAAAGCAAGTGATTTTTTGTCTGCTTTCAATAAACATTTTTGCAGTATTTCAAAATGCAAAATACGAAATCTCTTTGAAATTCATTAGTCCTTCATGATGAGGTTCAATTTTCTGTATTGTTTGCCTTAACAAGAGAAAAGCAATAAAGAGCAAAATTGAATATATCTTTTAGGATTGAAGTGCTCCCACGAGGAAGCCTTAATTTTGGTGAGGCTTCTGTAGCTAAATGACAAAGAAAAGCATTTGGGTATGTGTGTGTACAACCTAACTGAAAGGAGGTTGTAGCGAGGTGGGTGTCGGTCTCTTCTCCCAAGTAACAAGCGATAGGACGAGAGGAAATGGCCTCAAGTTGCGCCAGGGGAGGTTTAGATTGGATGTGAGGAAAAATGTCTTTACTGAAAGAGTGGTGAAACATTGGACCAGGCTGCCCAGGGAAATGGTTGAGTCCCCATCCCTGGAGGTATTTAAAAGACGTGTAGACGTGGCGCTTAGGGACATGGTTTAGTGGTGGACTTGGCAGTGTTGGGTTAAACGGTTGGACTCGATGATCTTAGAGGTCTTTTCCAACCTAAATGATTCTGTGATTCTAAATGTAGTTAAGAACAGCATCAGTGTTTCACGCTAGCTTTCTGCAACCTGAGGTTGGATCATTTGGCAGGCAGAGGGCCGTTGAATCACCCAAGGGGCTCGTTGGGCGATTGCCCCCGTGGCAGCGGGCTGGTGAGGTGCCCCTTCACCTCTGCTCCAGGCAATCCAGGACGGTGACCTGAGCTACTGGATGTCACGCACCTGCTGCAGCTGCTCTGGGGAGGAGTTTGAAAACTCATTTTCCCAATTGTAAGCTCTTTATTTCTCACCCTAACGTTACGGAAATGGAGTGCGTGGGGGGGACTTGAGCTCACGACACGGAGAAAACAGCGACACCGAGACGTCCGAATGCCTAAGTCAGAGACACGGGCACAGCCGGCTTTCCTCCGTCCCCTTCCTCTGAGGTGGGTCCCCGCGAGGCCCCTGGGCCGCTCGGAGCCTCCGGGGCTGAGGCAGTCCCGGGCTAACCCGCCGCCGACCGCCGCCGCCCC